GAAGCTCGCACACTGACAAGATCAAGTTGAAAATGCATTTAGAGAATTCTTTTTGCGTAGCTTACACAGTCAAAGCCAATCACAGTTAACTTCCTGGAAGCATGTGAAAATAAAGGCTCGGCAGTGGAATGGGAAGTGGAGCTAAACAGCCACCCAGGAGTGGGATTTTAACCATTCATTACAAGTAGAAAATATATATATGCTGCTGCTGATGTCAAAAGGCAGTTTACTTGAAAGGTTATTTTTCATCTCTCCAATTTGAACTAAGTGAAGGCTCAGCTTGGTGTAAAAACAATGTGCAGGATAGAAAAAAAGAAAAATTCCCCTGAATAAAACCGCGACAGAATTACCTGAACTTCCCGGCCCCGTGATCTCACACATTTTTTCCCCCCTCTTTACATCCTCCATCTCCCTCCCTGTGGTTTGGCGTAAGGTGCGAACACCTACTAACAGTATTTTGGGTGCAATAAAAGGTTAAAAGCATTACGCTGAAATAAGTGTTTGTACAAAGGGTCAGTTCACAAGCATGGGTTACAGAGACGAGACAGCACGCATGGCAGATGGCAGCAACTGTGTCTGAAATGGACCCAGCATTGATCAGCTATGGTCGTGTTGAACACAAAACGTCAGGCAGTGTGCCAAGCTCCCTCTACTACCTCCTCCAAACATGGGTCATATTCCCATTTAATATGACCCACTTACGCATCTGTGAGGCCACAGTGTTGGAACGAATGAACCAGACACCATCCTGGTACTACTAAAGCTCTTAATATGGTGCCAGAATCCTGCTTTAACATTTCAAAAACTGTTGATCACCATGCACGAACAGGTTGTAGGTTGTTTACTGCTGCATTTCCGTGACAAAAGAAAACATCTTCAAAATGCATGCATTCCTAGAAACAGCCCCTGGAGTAAAATCCGCCTCTGCGGTCTGCTGGTCAGAGAATCAGGGCTGCTAGTATTGATAGCTTTCGTCAACATGTTATTTTTTATGTCTATGAAAGTTTTTAATTCGCCTGAGTCATGGGGTGTCGGTAATATAGACGATGTTTTATCAGTTCAGTTGCTTTATTAGTTGATACACCTCAGTGGGTTTTCAGGGATGGAGGGGATTTCCCATTTTGCATCTATGTAATGACAAGCTGTATGGCAAAAGAAATCAGTAAACTCCCCATCTGTGGTTGGGTGCCTGGTACCTACCCACGTAAATGAAAATGATGACACATCTGTGGCAACAAGACTAAACACAGATTTGGTCTACAGTCACTATATCATGTAATTGACAATGTTTTTATCCACCCATCCAACCATATCAAGTCACATCATTGCCAATAAATCAGAGAGATTTGTTCCCGTTTCTCGGTTTCTAAGAACAACCAAGGGGTTTAGGTTATCAGATGTGTGATCACAGAATTACGTCTTTGTTTTCTGGGGTGGGGTTCTACTGTTTCTGGTTTTCTATTCAAAGCTGAGTGTGAAGTGGTGTGGGTGAGATGTGCACCTCTAATTGTGATGTCATGGTTTTTAGCCGGAAAAGTGGTCAAATCCCTGCTCCGGTTTGAAAGTAAGCTCCTCTACTTGAGGTAGCAACTTTTAAGTATTTATACAAGTGGTGAAACAGTGGAGTCCAGCATTGTCAAATAAATGTCGATATACTGGTCAAGATTCCTACAATCTACGGGCTGTGAGCTATGAGAGAAAGGACAAAATCATAGATACAAGCAGTAGAAAGGACTTGAAAAGTGTCTGAGCTCCCCCTTAGAAATAGGGTGAGGACTCCAGTCACTCGGGAGAGACCGTTCCTTACAAAGAAAAAAAGGGGGTCGGATCTGATAGATTCCTTGCCATAGCAGGTGAGATTCGCAGATAGGACATGAGACTCTCAGCTCTAGGCAAAGAGCAGACAAGATGACAAAAAAAGTGTATATTTACACTGCTGTCCTCATGACACGGACCCTTACAGGTCATAGAAAATGGATGAATGGAATTTTGTGAGATGACAGATTTCAAATTTCCACTTATGTGACATTTAAACTGTCAGAAACCCAAAAAAAAAAAAAAAATCCCCCACTATTCAGTAGAAAAGATGAGGCATTTATGGCAACGAGACAATCATTTTGTGTATAAACGAAACAAAACAGAGTAGCAAAAACCCCCACCAAACTCTAAATTCAATGATAAATAACAGCAGCCGAATGAAAAATAATGAATGGGAAGAAAGGAATCTAATTTTAACAGAATTAAATATCAAAGTTTAATACCAGCAGAAATTCTTTTGACATCCTTAGACCAAGAAGAGTCAAAGAAAAAAAACAAGAACAAAAACAAAACTGTAATTACTAATCTATTAACACAATGATTTGTGGTGCAACAGCAGTGGGAGAGGGTTTTTTTTTAGAGAGACTTCTGTCTGGGAGGTATTTTGCCAGAAAGTTCTCTTTTCTAATACATCATTTTTTAGTTTTCATTGGTAGTTTGGTCCACTTTTTAGACAGCCCTGCTGGCATATATTCTTAGTTGCTGATGACCTTTACAGCGAGTCATCAATACCTGTTATGGTGCTTCCAAAATTAGATTTTATTCTGTATAGGCTCTATAGGTCCAACAAAACCACTGAGTAACTCGATTACATCAATCTACAACTGTTCTCCAAACCCTGAAGTACAGTTTAACAAATTTAACAATTTGTCCAATCACAAATACTTCCAGAATAAGCAAACACTCAAAATAGTCCCTTACTCTACTCTACATTAAACTTTAGAGAGAGGCGTTTGAGCCCAGGCAGGCACTGAGAATTCATTTGCCTACTCAGACTTCAACTTCTTCTCGTACACCACAAAATTGCTTAAAGGCATACCACAAATGCAGAAAGACTGCAAGACTGTATTAACTGGATGTTACCTAGAATTTCAGTAGCTTACTCATTGCTTCCACTTCAAACTATCTCAGCTTACAATTAGGGCTGTTGCACTGAGAGAAATAAAACAGTTACTAGGCCCCTAACATGTGGAAGGACCACCCAAACCCTGGAATTACAGCACCATTTTTTGGATGTGTTTTTTTTTTTCCCCCCCAGTGCTCCCACAGAGCCTCCACGGTGAAAAGTGCAAAAGGTTTAGGCCACTCCTGCTGGAGAATGGCCAAAAATGTTTCTGGTTCTTCTTGTTCTTCTTGTTCCATAGACAAGTATCAGAGCACTTAACTAGCTGGATTAATGAAGAGAAATGTATAAAATTTGAAAAATAGCCCCATCTTCTCAGATTACAGACAATATCAGACACAGACTCAATAAGTGGGTAATTAAAAGTTATTTTATATCCACCACGAATACTGGCTACTGTGTAAATAATACGTTTTAGTGTCAGTGCGTCACCTGTTTTGTTTTGTTTTTGTTTTTTTTACTTTGAATATTCAGACCACAAGTTTATTGGGATTTATTAAGATCAACATGGGAGAAGATTTTGATAGGAATTGTTGGAAACTAATTTACTTTAATTACAATTCATTTTATTTACGGATTTATTTTCTGTAATCTTTCTGTGTATGTGCCAGATGTAGAAGGCTTCCACCTGTATGTTTTGTGCTCACAGTATAACAAAGACGTGAAAACTTTGAACTCTTTTACCCTGAAGCTTCACACTGTAATTACTGCATTAAGGGGATGAACTGTGCTCAAATTTCATATTTAAAAAGACTTTGATGCTGATAATCTTGATAACTCTAATAACCACTTCACATCAGTTATTATAATTTTCTGATTAGTATGTGTTTTATGTGCACTTTGCTTTCAATTCAGTTTAGTTTCAGTTTAATTCTTGTTTTTTGGAAATTTGTTTACTTTTCGTTTCAGTACTAGCTTTTCTCAATTTTTAAACTGTATTAATGGAAAATGTCAGAGGCAGGATTTAGCCACTACTGATCTATTAATATTTAGGGGTGGCTGTAGTTCAGAATGTAGAGCAGGTCATCTACTAATTGGAAGACTGGTGGTTCGATCTCTGGCTGCTCCAGTCTGCATGCCAAATATCCTTAGGCAAGATACTAACCCGAAGCTGATCCCCTTTTTAAATGCAGTTGAGCCTCAATAAACACATCTATCAATGTCTTTGCCAAATTTAAATAAAAACTAAACTAAACTAAAAATATTTTCCCTGTAATTCTATTTTAGTTCATTTTTGTTTTGTGTTATATTTCAGTTAACTAAAACTAGATGTGAAAATATATTTGAGTGAACTATAATAGCCTTACTTCACATGCTTTCACGTGTTTATTATACCGATCTGGCATGTGAGACCACATACGTTTGGGCCCCAGATTTCATAGGTACGTCACTGGTCTTAAACGCTTTAAACTTTGCATTACGTTGCCTCATTTAAAAAAAAAAAAAAAGGGAGTTGTTTTATTAGTTTTTTTTTCATTTGCTCAAGTGTAAAGTCTAAACAAATAATCACAAAATACCAACCATAACAATTATCCACACTCAGCCATTTTTTCAGTGTCCAGGAAGGTCGAAATAATGTAATTACACCATGTCGAAAGCAGAACCTTGAACATCTGTTTTAACGTTTGCCCAACAAACACGTACAGCTCTCACACAACATATTAAAGTCAATACACCAGCATTAAACGTGCACAAACGACAAAAAGCGAGGACTTGAATCTGGCTGAAAAAGTATTTTTACATCTGAATGACTCCTGGGACTGAAACTCTGGCTCTGCCTGACACTGAACACAGCATCTCGTGTCTTTCACGGCTAGCTGACCGTCCACTGACCAGCTCCTCAAATTTCCCCGACAAAATTAACTACTCACTCTATTAACAAGTTTCCAGCAACTTTAACAGAAAATAAACGGCCCATAAAGACCGTTGTAAACTAAACAAAAGGTCTCCAAACGAAGTACAAAAAAGGGGGCATTCCAACGGCGTGTTTTCACAAGCTAGCGCGGGTAACTCTGGGGTTATTACTAGCTAGATACACAAAAACATCGCAAACACTTACTTTGCGTCTCTGGAGGTGCTCAGAGCTGACAGAGGAGTCTACCGTTGAAACAGAGTCTGGTCTCGGAGTGTGAGAGAAACAAATGATGGTGTCTGTCTGACTGGTTTGTGTGTGGTTTATGTGCGTGAGGGGGCAAATTCGTTACACCCACATTTAACCCTCTCCTGCCTTCCTGGTGCAACACAACTGCAGGTGTGTTTTTTAGTTCTTTTATTACAATTTCACAACCTCAACCTTGTGAGTTTTTCTTTTGTGGGTGTCTCATTTACACAACGGGCACATTGTTTTCTTTTCTTCATCAGAAGAAAACAAAAAAACAACAACAACAAAAAAAACCTAAAAACCAAACAGCATTCAACTTCCTGTCAGACATTGCATTTGCGCAGTTTACAACGGCATCTAAGAAAACAGTGTAACACCTGTAACACCTTAGCAATCAGTAAAGGATTTTCGTGGCTTTTTCTGCGGTTGCAGCTGCAGTTTCATTCGCAGCGGATGCCAAATGTGGGGCCCAGCATTAGACGAAGCACCGTCTTCTGATAGATTATCATCAATCTTATTACCCCGATCGCGTCAAGACTCTGCGTTTTGCAGACATTTTGCAACTTCTCATAAACTCTCACGAGAGAAAAAGACTTAAGCCCCAACAGAAAATATCAGTCTAGATATTTCCTCGTTTAGAGAATTGTCTGTATACAAAGACTTTATAAAGTAATGCAGATTATACCAGCACACGTGCTGATGGTTAAACTTGACGAAACATTTCACACAGCTTCTAAATGAGTCATTGTATGTCACCAAGCAGTAAACCAGGGTTCAATAAATTAAATGGGAAAATGTGGGGAGAATGCATACAAAACCGGGGCACATGGGAGCCTTTTGCCTATAAACAACCCTAACTACGCACACGTTTCCACAGCCACACAATCCCTCTTTTCAGCCTTTGCACGCTGTGCGTGTGTGTAAAGAGGTAAGAAGAGCCCGGGGAAAAGGTGAGACCTGGAATAGTATGTAGTCGAGCTGGAATTCACCGAATTATATTTGTGCAGATGATCGTGTTGTGACACGCTCGACAGAAAACACCAAACAAAGCGCGGGCTTGCGCAGCTCCTCTTAAGTTTCTTGGTTAAACACGTTAAAACAAACGCGTGGAGCTCGTCTTTTGCTGGGTGATGCGTTTGGCCAAGTTGAACGGGATGTTTTGCTGAAGGGTCTAAAACGTTTAAGGCGGTGTCAGACAAGTGAACGGGATGTGTAGAGACTGCACCCTAGCATTACCTGTGCGCAGAAGTCGCTCCCTATCTGCTGGGCGTTAGGTAGGCAGGTATATTTGAAGTTGATCTGCCATTATATTTAATAACAGGAAATGTGAGGATATTTTTGTTAAATAACTGCAATAGTCCATTGCTAAGAAAAAACCCCAAACCTTTCCCTTTGTGATTTAAGACATACGGTATATTTACAGCCCTATACATATATTGCAAGGACAGCAAAAAACAAGGTGACTGGATACATTGTCAAGTCTTCAAAATAAACAATGGTGTTCTTTATTTCAAACTTTGTAATGCAAAATCAATAGCAATGCATTTTTGAGGTACAATATACCACATAAATACATATAAAACAATGCTACAACTTGAAACAGAGTAAGGAATGCTATTCACAACAGTATAACGCATGATGGATGAAGGAGGGAATAAATAGCTCAACTTGCCATGTCTTCAAACTCAAAGAACACTGGCTGCTTGTGAATGTTTTGGCTAATTTATGTCAGAGAACCAGAAGATGAAAGAGCCATGTCTTTGCCGTCCTCCTCCTGCCTGCCCATCACTTCAAAAATAACCTGCTTTGTAGAGCTTTGAACATTTTCGTAAGGCTGATGATTTGAGGCCTCGCAGTATTGAGGGAAATGGAATGGCATTTCTCTTACACGCCATAATTATCGTGCTAGCCAGGACAGAGCATTTCAGGTTGAGGAACAGAACGTCACGCGGGAGAGCTACATCTAATTAAACCCTGGCAAAAAGGATAATTACTACTTTTCAGGGGTACAGGAGACCTCACCCGTGTTTCGCGTTCCCTATCTGAACTAAAAGTTCGCCCCAAGTAACGAGCACATCTGCCTTCAGCACCGGACTGCAAACCCACAATCACGGGTCACTCCCTTCTAGGGCAGGACTCAGTGTGGTCTTTTGTAACAATACAGACCACCTTTGAAGACCTACAGTATGCTCCCTTTTTTTAAAATTCGAGCTTACAAATGAGTCGCCTGTGTTTGGGAGTGTCTCTATCAGGTTTTAGGTGCTGCTGAGTCAACAAACTGGATTGCTGGCACCGCTTCAAAACCAAGCTGAGTTATGATGTACCTGAGGGCATGCTGAGGATTTGGAAGTAGAAATGTACTCAGCAACGGGTGAAAACTGTCAAATATATGATATATTTGTTTTAAAGCACATACAGTATAACTGTCTTATCAATCAGCTTTTCATTTTTAGGGTTTGTTTTTTTTGCCATTTTGGTTCATTCAGCCATTTACTGCTTTGCTGTCTTCTGTTTGTGGCAACTTGCTACAAAGTTTTATGGATTATAGATCTTTCGGTGGATTACATCGCATGCATGATGTCAAAACACAAATGTCACTTAAATAGGTACAAAATAAGACACGCCATAATTAGGTGGAGGATTAGAATTGAAAATCATTTTACCCAATACTGAAAAAGTTCCCTGTTTGGTTCACAAGAACAGCACAGAATAGTAAATAATTTTATTTACATATGTACAGGGAGCAGGATGCAGTGTAGATGACTGTTCTTTTAAGTAGTTTTAAGGCAAGACTAACGATATGGTGTATATGAAAAAAGAAAACTGTGCTACATCACCAAAGTACAGCCAGCTCAGATTTGTTTACCTGCACACTGACGTGCTTGTCTTGTAACACTAGCTTTAAGGTAGTCTGAATGTTACTTGGGATAAAGAGTCCCATCTTGTAGTGCACACACAGCAAAGAGAGAACTACTCTGTTCCTCTTGTATGAGTAACTTCACGTGTTCATCAACATTGCATGTATTAATGTCAGTAGTGAAAATATAGTCCAAAATAGTCCACTCAAGGAATAATAATAAGTCCCTGAAAAGTATTTAGATCTGAATATTATTAATGGCCATAACTGAGAGTAAACACTGAACTTTAACTGTTTTTTTCAGTGTGAAAGCTATCAGTTTAGAACAGATTTCATCGTCACTCATTTGGCTTTTTCCGAATCTTAAACCTTGGATTGTGTATTTTGAGTGTTCACTGGAAAGCCGTCAGAAAGCATGCACAAGGTCAGTTATTAGAGTACATAGTGTGATTTAACGTCAACAGCATCAAAACAACAAACAAATGACAGCACAAACTTTTGGTCCTCGAGTGTGATTCAGAAACGGTGTCGATGCAACTTCTTATCAGACACAAAATACTGAGTCGGGAAATCATGAGCTGTACATGAACAATAGATTCAGGTGTTTAGAACTACTCTGTAATGTTAATTAATATTACAAATCAAAGGAATACAGGATTGGACCTCACAGCCCCAGTGAAAGTAGTTTACTTTCACTATGAGGTTTCTTGTTCTTGTTGCAGAGTCTGGAATATGAGACTGTACCCATCTGTTAAATACTGGGGGTTACATTAGGCTAGGTCCTGTGGAAGGGGGCAGGGGGCATTGACTGGCAAAGTAATGCTCCGAGCCCCAATCAAATCATAATCCAAACCTTCTGGCCCCGCATTTGTGATCTGTGCTTAACTGTCCCCACCCTGGAAGTTATCACACAGTCAGCTCAGATCTTCTTTGGCTTACGGCCCAGGTGGTAGTAGTAAGCCATGGTGACCAGCAAGAAGAGTACTCGACTGAGGAGAAGCAGCATGGCGGCGTTGGGAAGGATGCCGATCTCCACTAAAGTGATGGACGTCACTGAAACCACAAATAGAAATTTACTTAAATTAGATATTAAATGATAATAAACAACAATAGCCTCTGAAAAAAAAGCATGAATCAGCACAATTATCAGTAAATTTTTGATAAAGACAGTGCGTATATGCAAACTCCCTGCTTGTTTTTCATAAAGTATTAATTACCTGAGCAGCTATGAAAGAGAGCAACATGAAAATTGACACTTATGCCAACTATGAAAAAACACACACACAAAAACAGCACCATTTATACCCATACACACAATGCTTCATAGTACATTTAAATAAAAATGTGTCTAAATTTGAAATACAAGGATGTGACACCTCACACTGAACACAAGAGGGCACTACCTGCACATTTTTCTTTCTGCAAACACTCCCACATGGACAAAAGTAGCCATCGTTTTTCTGCATGAGGCAGAAAAGGATGAAACAAAACAAGATGAAGATAACTTGTAATCTGTGTTGGAAAACTCACCTAAAAACTGCACAGCAAAGTAGCAAGCCTCACTGAGTAGAGTCCACTGGATGATGACCTTTTCTGCTGTGTAGAGTCCGTTCCACATGATGAGGGACAGGCCTGGAAAAGAATGCAAAAATAGGGAATTTATAGGTTCAGGGGCATGGGAATGAAAACAGAAAATAAGAGCAAGCTCGGGAAGGAAGACTCCTACATGTCCGAGAGAATTTCCACTAATAAAACTACAAGAATCTTGACATCATGTGCACATGTTGCTAACGGGGCCTGTTGATTCAGCTCTGACTCTCTGTCTGTAATGACGGGCTTGCGTGCAATCATTTCAGTGCCTGCTCTTCTTCCTGTTCATTTTCCTGAATTTCACTCCCACCTGCAGAGAACAGTGAGGCTATGGAAACAAGAAGGGGTAGGCTGAAAGGTGGGAGGGCTGATGGACTGTATCCTCTCCCTGCCTGGTTCCATCTGTGCAGCAGATGAGACCCCATCATCCGCCCCCTTACTGCACCTAGTCTGATAGGCCATCACCCTCTTTTGCTAATCCCCACAGTGTGAATGACATTTATAATGAAGAAGCCAGTTCAAGGTCAAGCTGGTTCATTCATGTGTTCTTGTAGTGGTTTAGCTGGGATTTGTTCAGATTTTACATTTTTGATTTATCAAGATATGCATAAAACATAGTATTAAGTCTTTCCCTTAGTATTCATGTTATTGAATGCCTATATGAAGTTTAGGTGCTAGCATTTTGACTGATTTAGTAAACTAAATTAAAATGACAACCTCACAAATTGTACTTAAACATTAAGCCTTCTCACTCTCTCTGTCTGTCTGTCCTTTGCATATTCTCCCATCTCCCATTACAAACCCTGCGATCACCCGAGTGACAGCTCTGTCTCAAGTCAAAACCCATTAAAATAATTGCTCGCATCTCAGACACGTTGTATGCTATGCGTGAGGTGGGAGCTGAGCAAAAATGGCACTTTGTCTCGTTGATGAAGTGACATTAAAAAAAAAAACATTTTTAAGTCACTGCAAAAGAGAAAACTGCAAAATATGAATGTAGAGTAATACACTGCCTCCTCTTTTAGTTCCAAGCACCTCATTCGCACACACAAACTTACTGTTCTGCCACCGTGTACCAACTAGATCCAAATCTTATATATAAAGCTGCAAAAAGGAGGTGACTGTGGCCGTTCTGGAGAACTAGTCTTTTACCTCATAGAGAAACAGAACTTGAATTATAGAGCCACCATTTGCAGCCTGAAGGAAGGATTTTGGAGGAAGAAGAGATCCCTTTATACAGTATCTGAATGCAAGAAGAGAGCTCTTTCTACAGTATCTGAATGAGTGCTTGAAGTGTTTGACTCAAAATGAATACATTAGAAGCTGTAAACACAAGAGGCAGTGCAGTGCAGTGAGGCAGTGTATATTTTTAGCATGTAAATAAATAAATATTAAAGCATCGTGTCTGCATCAGTGCTGCACGGTCAATGCACTTGTTCATGCAAGTATATTCACACTCAGTAGCATAAATACCTTTATGAATGAATTAGCTGCACAGCTTTCATAAAACTTTGGACTTACTGAGCAATGCTCCTCCGTAAAGGCGAACAGAGATGTTAGTAGTGGAGAGCTCCTCCTCAAAAACGACCTCATATAGTTGGTTGGGAAACACCAGAGCCTGTGTAGGGTAAAAAAAGGAAAAAGCACAACATAGCTTTGTCATATCAGCAAAACAGCACTGTGTGCTTCCCAAAGTCTCCCTATTTTTGAGCTAGTATCACAGTGAATGCCCTGGAGGATAATGTGAATGTAGATGGTGAGGTTAACAAAGGCGGAGCTGTTTCCCCAGATGTCCCTCACTGATATCTTGGAACAGAACCTACAGTAACTCAGCGCTGCGTTTGCATAACGTGGTTTTCACACTTCTAAAAAGATACATTTCTTTCTGCCTTACATTTGAAAATGAAAAGACTTTGAAATTTATCAGTGCAAAACATCTTACCATCAGAGCCATAGCTGTGAAACCCACTGCAGAGATGAGTATCCACACCCTAAAAAGAGAGAACTATGAAATGCTACACCCATCCTGTGAAAATTACAGATTGTAGACTTTGCAAGACTAGCAATGATGCACGGATGACCTTACACAGTCTGCTGTGTTAACTGTGACTGTTGTGATGTTGAGTAACTGAGCAGCTGAAATCTCACCTCAGCCCGAAAGGCTCTCGCACTGCAAACTTCATCTCATTTCCGAGCATCTGACTGATCTATCAGCAAACGAGGCAAGACAAAAGAAACAGGAAATGAGTTATGAGAAGGTAAATGCAATCACAATCATGTCATCATAACAAATACATGTTATGATCACCTTCAGCAAAACCCCACATAACCAGGAAGAAAGAGTACTCTGGAGGTGTATTTAAAGTAGTTAATGGAGAGAAGCACACAAAACAGAGTGTTCAAGAGAAAGGAACAGAGCGGCTGAGTGTTAGAGAAGCATCTCTTAATGTTAATTAGAGACTGTAAATGTTCTCGCCTTTTTAATCGCCTCCTTAAGACTCACTGTATGTCATAATATCTTTTAGGGAATTCTAGACGAATAACTGACTACCATGTCAATGCCACAAGAAAAGCATCATCTGCAACAAATGACTGCTGGCAACAGTAGCAGCACATAGTAATCAATTTATAATCCTGGAAGCCTGAAATCGTTAGTGGGAAAAATGTCTGACAAACTGAAAACTAAGTGTGACGTGCCATTTCTTAATGACCAAGTGTTCATTCAAGCCGACTACAAGGACAGATAGCAGTAAATATTTCATGAAATGCCATGCAAACTGATCTTATCACACAGCAATATTCAGAAGATATACAATATCTGATAGGATAAGCATCTCTTATTACAGATGAGAGTAGACCCTGGAATCCTAATAAGCAGCAACTATATTTTCAAACTCAAAGGACCCAAGAGTTATTGGAATTTAAAACTAATTCATTAGCATGCTACACACATCTGACAATCAATTAATCACTTAAAAGGGACCCATTATGCTCATGTCCGACTTCATTTATTTTAAATTGCTGTAGTGCTGTTTTAAGAAGGCCTATTTATCTATACGGCAACATCTCTGTTCACCCACCCCTTCTTCTGATGGGGTGTTGTATGTGCTTCTGCTCGTATGTGCCTCACAAGATCATTTTTATCATAAAGAGATCACAAAAATCTTAGAGCATAAAAAACACATCTGAAAGCATTTACAGCAGGCTGAAGCCTCATCTCATGGCTCAGAGGGATTACTTGCACATATGCTGACCTTATTATCTGAAGGCCTGACCACATTTAATATTAGCATACACCTTTGGAACAGTAACTATATGAAAAAATATGAAAGGAAGCTAATAGTTCAAATTTAATCAAAGAAAAAAAGTGAAAACATGTATTTCTTTCAGGATTCATTGTAATTCTATACTGCATTGTTCAGACTGTTGGTTAGATTGAAATAAATAATTTGTGCTTTTACAAACCAAGGTAATTGCTTTTCAATGCACTACATTAGTGTTATGTGTTTACAGAATGTGGATTCGTAGTAATTTTTTTCCTGTAAGAATAAACAGGAGAAACAAGCCCAGAAATGTTGTTAACAGATTCAGGGTCAGGCTCATGAGCAGGAAGGAAAACAAACTGTCCCAGATAACCACAGAGAGTGAAAATAAATTAATAAATAAACCAAGTTTTCTGCCTGAACGGACAGGAACCCACAGAGAAATTACAACTGTTGGCTGGCTGTGAAGTTGAATTCCTTCATCTAAAACCCTTCAGGTTCCATCATATCCTTAACATGAATGATTTCCCTTCATCATAAAACATTCTCTTCCCTCAAAGGGTTCCGGTGCTGGAGCCAGACGTAGCATCACACAGAACTAAAAATACACAGAAGCAAAAGAGCTCTAAAGAAGAGAAGATGAATCATTTTCTGGCTACGAGTGTTTACAGGGAACACGGAATAGCTTTCTGTTTGATAAGCCTGTGAAAACTTAATGTGAACGAAACAATGATCGATGTCATATCAAAACATGGGTTTTCACTGGCTTTTACCTACTGCCATCTCCCACAAGGTGCATGGTAATAAGTGCAATATCTGGACCATTTTCAAAAGAAAGTGTATTTCAAAGAGTTGATGCATTACATCATACTTATTATGTAATATAACAATATCAGCAAGACCTAATTTCACTGCAGCTGGAGAGAGCTTTTTCCAGGATATCATTAAACATGACTTTTCCTTTTTGCCCTCGGGGCAGAGATGCAACTATACTCGTGTCTGTTGACTTTCTGTGAAATTCACATCATGACGTGAATTTCAAATGTCACCATTTTGAGCACTTTTGTCAAAAAACTATACCTGTTGTGTTTGTTTGAAGAGTTTCTTAAGTTAAATATGTAATTTTCAACCAGACATTTATTTGTAATGCACAGTAATTTGGCATATAAAAATAACCTCATCATGGCAATGACTTTAGATGCAGATAAAAAAAAACACACCACGTTTAAACAAAATATATAAGGGTAGTGATTCATGTGTGTGCATTTGCATCAATCTTTGATGTATACACAAACAGAAGGACTGATGACCCTGAACTTGTTAAGTAGCTTTAGAGAACCCGTGTTCAAAAGCAGCAGAAAGGAAAACAAAGACTTCATGTGCTTGAAGTAAGATGGGGGAAGGGGATTTTTCTTTTTAAGATTCTTAAATTCCCAATGTCTGCTGCAGTCTTTAATTTAGGGGTAGACATGTACATCCCTCATTGCAGTGCAACTGAAGCACCTGTACACGAATCCATAACCATAAACAGGTGAATCACCCTTCCTGTGCCTTTGGTTTTAGGGGCCGTTTTTGACAAGAACACATAAATATTCATGACTGGCATGAGAAATATTCATACTCTGAAAACTGAGCATCAATTGATGGTACCATGGTGGCTTAGGGCAGAATATTGCAGAAGGCAGTTGAGTGGAAAGAGGGAGAAACAGGAAAAGAAATACACAATGTTGTTTGTGCAGAGAGAAGCTATAGTGCAGCTGTTGTGGCCTTGAGTTGTCATCAATCACTCCTTCAGCTATTTAGTAAACAATGAGCAGCTTTTCAGCCATAGAGGATGAAAAATATTCAGCTAATACCAACTAGAGTAGCAGTGCTCTGAAATATCAGTATCTGTCAGTTGCAACATCCCATTACCACTTAAATACAGGATCACTGAATTAAACAAGCTGTAATGGTAATGGTGCAGCCAGGTGAGGCATTATCTTTTTGCACAGTAGCACCTAGATAAAGCATTGCAGTAATGCACTACTGTCTTTCTGTCCCTTAAAGAGGAAGAGTATTCTTATCTCTAAGTAGTAGAAGAAGCAGGAAGGCACAGTGAACAGAGTGCAGGAGCACTTCCTTCCATTGTTTACTGAAACCACCGGGATGGAGTCAACTGTTTCCTCTATTAAAAAAAAAAACAAAAAAAAAAAACAACTATGTATGGCAAGGATAAATGGAACAACAAGAGTAAGCACAATGGAGTAGAATAAGTGAACAATTATACTGTCACAGTAACAATTAAATTCTAATTTAGTTCAATGTCGAAGTTAAACAGGGAAACACATTTTTTCAAAACAGCACGTACAGTAGATCCCATTAACCAAACTGTTGTTTTACTGTGGTTTGTATACCCTGTTGTTGGTTCAGCCATTACAGTGAATATGCAACCCCAAGACTCAAGAGAGAGGAGCAACTGCCACATTCGTTTCTGTCTTTATCATACCGTCCTGGAAAGGTTTCTGAGTGGCAGATGTCAGGGTTAGGCTCCGTGCTAAAACATTGAGAGAGAAAACAAACACTCAGGAGAGCTGAGAAAAAGGGGGCTGACATCACATCACGAACTATCAGCCACCACCGTATGCCTGCTCCCTTCTGTTCTGTCCCTTTTTCACACTTGCATGTTAATGAATATTTCAGTGAGGAACAATCTGCTATGCCTATGCTCACTGTAATGAGGTCTGATAATGACAAAAATGTATAATAATAATCTGAAATCTTGAAATCTGAGCTCAGTGAAATGGAATAAATTATTGTCAGTGTGCAACTGTGGAACTTGATATTCAAATATGATACTCTGTCTCCTAACATATATCTGATTGTGTGCTGTTGTGTTTTGGTATGCACCGTCCATACTGATGTGCTAATGCATGGGAGGCAGAAAGAGAATACATATGAGATGCAAGAGGCAGGAAGTCTCTCAAGGGACCACATCTCAGTGGAGCTGCCAGAGCTTGTTGGATTACGTGATCTAGATTTACTGATCCATAAAGAGCAAATGCAGACAATGGGACACGAAGAGAGTGATGAGCCAATTAGCAGCCCACTGTGGCTTTTAAAAAGAATCCATAGCTCTTCTCAGGGCTAGTAAACACATTTGTGGTGGAAAGTCATTTTGCTTTTCCAGTAGTTTAACTGGTGATAGTTAACAAATGCACTCATTTCTAACCAAGCTGCTTGTTGCACTAATGCACAAGCCATTTGACTGTACATTAGCGCTTAGATTGAGTCAAACTCGCTGGAATATGTTTATATGATGTAATCTGACCTTTGAGCGGTGCACTTCGCCATCGTCGTCCTCGCCACCGACTCCAAGGATCTTCCGGCTCTTCAGACGGCTTATCAAGTCCGTCTGACTGTGCTTCTTCATTAGAGGAGCAGGAGGTTTAGATGCCATGGTGCACACCTGACACGAATATAAAAAAGGAGACACATGGATGGTGTCGTTAGAGGAGATAAAATAATATGAATTACTACTTAATAAGTAGGACTGAAAGAGGAATGAAAGAGGATGGATTTAATTTTGTTTTTCCCTAGACCATTTATATAATAAACATCAGTGGAGTTCTCCCGTCATCATTTTACGCCTCTGTCTGAAGACGACATCGCTATCACATGGGGCAGGAATAGGCATCAACCAATCTACAAATAATTCCCTTGAGGATGTGACTTATGCAACACAATTACGTAATCCGGGTGTAACAAATACAGGCAAGCCATAAAACCTTCCTCTTAAGTCAGACTGGAAGCAGGAGCCAGCTGCCCCCTGTATCTGCTGAGAGCCCAACAGACGCAGGTGGCTGCTTAGAGAATCACAGCATCTAATAGTGACACACATATAGACTCACACACGCGCGCACACAGGGGCGTAGCACAGAACTCTGGGCCCTGCACATAAGCAGTCTATGTGAACCCCCTTTCTTTCTCCTTGTTTTATTTTTATTTTTTTTTACATTTTAATTAATTAAGCCAACCACTGTATGTAGTAATCTGTAGGGTTCATTAGGGCAGCCCCCAATGAACTGTTCATATACGGTATATGAACAACCTATGATGCGTCCTTAGAATTCAACCTTAATATCTGGATATACTGTAGTCTTTATCACATCGTCACTGCATGTATGCTTCATCACAGAGTAAAGCATACAGGATTGATACAGGTTAATATATTAACCTGCTTTATAGCCCAATACAGTTTTCAATGTTTTTGGCACTAAAGCAAGTCACAGGCCACAGGTCAAGGCAATCGACCTATAATTAATAAATGTGAAAGTTCAATTAAATCTCCAAAAATATATGTTTATGAAGCTATAACAGCAAAATTACAGCTCTTGGTGGGAGTAGGCAGAATAACAGTATTTTAAAAAGCACTGGATTGAATTCGTTTTATAAATAGGACATAAAATGGAGATTTCGTGTTAGTGTTCCTTTGAGCTCATAAAACACAAAAGATGTCATATATGTCGGTCTGATATTCTTGCAGATACTAGATGATTAAGTATTACATAAAATTATGGTATTAAGTTGTGCTGGTCCATTTTGAGAACTATATTGTTACATCTGGCAGTGGCTCAATGTTTAACACGTGCTTTTTTTTTCTTTTTTTTTTAATGTTAACAGTCTCCTCTCTTTAGTTTCTTTTTGGACACGGTGCGCATTAGCAGTCACCTAGATAGAATAAATTAGCTATGGTGTAAAGGAGAGTCAAGTGGGGGTCAATCTGTAATTTGTAACAGGTGAAAGTGGAATGAAAGCTTTTTTTGGTCTCAATTTATTCAGGCAGTTTAGTTATTGCTAATTGTGTAGAAATAACAAAACAAAAAAATCAAACACAATCAAACTCTTCATTGCAACTCCACTTCAGCTGAAATTAACCCTTGGTAGTTAAAGTCACCACTTCCCCCACGACGCCTCTGCACACATACATGTGTTAATTATCTTGCAGACGTCACTTACTGTCCACAAGAGTGGATGTAAATGCCAGTGGCAAAAAACAAACAAACATGTAATTCATTTCTTGCCCTTGCTGGCTATGGACTGTGACAGGAGGTTACACTGCAGCAGTCCTATTGATCAGCATTAATGAGAAGTGGCTGCAGACTCGATGGGCAACCAGTAGGCAAATCAAAAGTCATCATCACGGACTCAATAACGTAACCTCCACAGTGATTAAACTGGAAGCAAAGAGATATGCACACATGTACACGATGGAACGGCCCGTCCGAAAATTGATGGCTTCTCTACAGGGCAGCTCTCTGGAGAAGTCCGATGAGAGCAATTACAAAGACAGAATCTTTAACAGAGAGCCTTGTCCACAGGAAAGGAAAACAATTTGTACCAACAGGAGACAGCTCAAAGTATTCAGCTTTCCACCCACTGGGAAGTATATCATCACAGTTAAGCTGACAAGGCAGAATCTGAGTTATAAAACTACTACAGTTGGTTTTTTCAAGGTCACACTGGCAAGCTAAGCTGCACAGAACCACTTACAACGCACAAACACATTGTTAACACTCACACATGCCAAAGCACTTCAACACACCTCAGCAATAAAATATAGAACAACTGTATGACACAAATCAGGAAGCATACCAACCTTTTAATTTATGAAGCTTTGTAGTTTTGTAAACAACTTGTGTCTTAGACAGACACATAATAGCAACAAATGTATCTAATATATATTTTAGGCAAAGGAGAAAACTTTAATTTACCAGTAGCTGCAGTGTGTGACTAAAGAATCAGTTTTTCCACATTTCTACCTTGAGAAATTTTTGTTCCGCTTCCCAAATTGTCATCTTAAAAATAATACTTTTTATTCAGTTTTACTTTCCTTTCCATCATCTCAAAAATGAAATAAAATAAAAAAAAGCAACACGGCAAATGTAATCACTTTAACTTGTCTTGATTCATTACATGCAATTCGTATTCCTTTGTATTTTGTCAATTCATATAATTCTGATATTTAGTTTTGTGTGGCATACCCAGAACAGTTATATGCTAAGGTGTTGGTCTAAGTGCATTCCTGTGTCAGATATGTGTAGTAGGGCATGGCAGCAATCCCTTGTATTGGTATGCACACACAGAATAGGATTGCAAAGGTCAGTAAAGGTTACACAGCATGTTTACAGGCTTCTGTTGTCCATTTCGTCCCCCACACAGTGAGCGAAGTACAAGACTTTCCCCTTTTTCTGTAACAATCAACAGGAGGAGGCGCAAGAAAGAAAGAACGGGGAATGGAAAGTAATCAGTGCAGGTAAATCTATTTTCACAATGGAGAGGGGTAATCTTTCTGATAAAAGGGCCTCCCCAAACCCTGCATACAATGGCTGGAACTTGAAGCAAAAGAAGTATGCAGGCTTTAATTCCAGCCGTTCCACACACCGATAATCACAACACTTCACGAGAACAGAGGAATATTTTTTCTTCAGTTCTCTTTCAAATCTTTCCTTTTTGCCAGTTGTAAAGTCTGATGCAAAAATCCATTAGTGCTTTCACACATTTGCTTTTTATGCTTAAAGGAACTGGTGCCCACTCAGAATAATTGCAGTGAGACATTTGCCTCAGGCTTAATTATATTTTCTGGGGAAATACACAATTAGATTACTTACACCCCCCCTGAAAAAAAACAAAACAACTTTTCTACTTTCCAAGTAGCAAAGTTAAACTGTTGGTGTATGATGATGGTCCCAGTGTGCCAAATTACAGTGCAGCTACTGTAACATGATTACTAGATTACTGCACAGCCACAAGTTGTTAAATTATAGTTTAGTTAATATATTGTTCAGGCTATTCTACCCTTATGCCCTATTCTCATTCAGTACAGAAATACGACCACTTCTGTTGTGTACTTCTCACTCACAGAAAAAGTAACCGGGCAAATCATTTGCTCCACTTTCATGTGGACTCGACTGAGCCACAAAGAGAAAGCAGACCTTGCATCATGTCCCTGTAAATGATGGAAAACCTAAGCAATGGCTCTAAAGCCCCTCGACTGTTGATTTGCTCCACTATCGTGACCCTATCAATATCTGTAATAAAGCAGTAAATGAAGCGCATTTCACTGCATACATTAGTAAATCCCACATTTCTCCCACATGCAATAATGTCCCTGCATGTCTCTCCCTTTGGATCTCCCTACGGGCGCTCCTTGACTTACAAGAGTAATGCCGATGCAGTTGCTTAGCAACTGCCAATGGACCAATTGCTTCTTCATTATTGAAAGCACCTTTCATGACTGAAGACACCTTTGATGACAACGTCTCTGCCGTCATTCTCCTTGATGTAGGAAGTGACATTTTAGGAATTTTTAAAGAGACTTTGATCCGAATCCCATTAACTGCAGTGGAGGCATGATGTCCTGATGAGTGGCTTCTTGTGACAACCAAAAACCTTAAAGCGGAAATACTTGCTCTTTAAATCTCAAAAGTTGAAACAAGACTGAATAAATTAGGTACTTTGTAACAGCTAAAATTAAATATAATATTTAACAGTTCACATGTAATCTCAGTTACTCAGCAGGACACCAAGATAAGAGAAGTATGAAAAGTAAAGACGAAGGAAGGGTCATGTAAAAATAATCAATTATTAATCAAGCTGGGAAGCACAAATAAAGAAAACAGATACAAGTTTATTATTTTGGCACCTAACAGTGAAACAATGGACCCAAACACAAGAAGAGCTCATGAAACTGTGATATTATATTTTTACAATACTTACAGGCATGTGAATTTAATACACAACAGGTGTGTGTCAGGAAAAAGACCAGATTAGTCTACCAGAAGTCAAGAATGAACCAAATCTCCCATAGTCTGGGACTAGCAATATGAGAAACAAACAAAACCCTCTCAGTTCATTTGCAGGCTTTGTGACAGAACATGTGCCGTAGAAACGAAAAGCTGCTAAACACACGGAGGAAGATATTGTGGAAAAGGTGTGAACTCCGGACAAATCTCTGGTTAGCAACTAAAAAGATGCTCTGTAAAATATAATTGTATCATAGGAACAAAGCAATGTGTGGGTGTGAAGGAGCAACTGTGAACAAATGTGCTACTCAAAATAAGAAAGCAGATCTTACAGCCTGCTCTTCTTCTCTTTTTCCACAAATAACAGAAGACACAGTTGCTCAGTAGCCTCCAAATCCCCTCACCACCACATTTTGAATATCGACAGCACCATATAGTGCCAACAGCAGACAGCACACAAATTAAAGCCTCCACTAAACAGACTCTAGAAACAAGAGTGAGTAGTTTTTCCCCTCAATGAAATGTCCATCTCTTATAACCACCAATAATCATTTACAGATCTTCATAAACATATTACTGCATTGATTTCTCATTGCTCTGATGAAAACTGCTGCTTCCACAAAGGTAAGGACAGTCTTTTTCTACTAAGATAAACTAAGATAAA